TTTACTAACTGTTAATAAAGCAGCAAATTAGAAATTAGAAAATCAGGAATCAGAAAAAGCTTTATTACCAAGTTTGTTTACACACACAAGGAATTTGACTTGACGACAGGAGCTTCCAGTGAAGAAGAAAGTACAGACATATTGCAAACATACATGATAGTGCATACATATAGGAATAACACAAAATACATTTGGAGTTTATTGAGGCAAAAGTCATAGTTAATTGTTTTTTAATGCCAAGAATTGGACCTTAAAATAAAGTGTGACCAAATGCATTTATTTCATGCCAAGTATTCTACAATTAGATTTATATATTTATGTACTTAATAAAAAATACCCTGCAATTGTACTTTTGATACTCTAAACTGGTATACTTAAAGTCTGCTAAATTGGAACAACTCATTTTATACTTAATGCATTTTAATTGTGTGGAAGTAGTGCTGAAGTCCAACTAAAGATATACCGAAGTATATTTGATTGTGCTAATGTAAAACTATTGGAAGTATACTTCAGGTACACTTTAAATATCTTGCATTTAAAGACAGATATTATTCAAAGATCACATAGTCCTCATCAATAGTGACATTAAAACATTTTAGGCTTAATATTGAGAAATGTCCATCGGGCACAAGTAGTACTCCAAATAAAGTTTAATTTGAATATTTAAGAAGTCTTGAAGAATGTTAGTAAATATGTTAATATATCTGAACTATACTTAGTATGAAATAAATGTATTTGTAAATACAGTATATCACTTTTTACTAGGGAAGGAATTTGACTTGACGACAGGAGCTTCCAGTGAAGAAGAAAGTACAGACATATTGCAAACATACATGATAGTGCATACATATAGGAATAACACAAAATACATTTGGAGTTTATTGAGGCAAAAGTCATAGTTAATTGTTTTTTAATGCCAAGAATTGGACCTTAAAATAAAGTGTGACCAAATGCATTTATTTCATGCCAAGTATTCTACAATTAGATTTATATATTTATGTACTTAATAAAAAATACCCTGCAATTGTACTTTTGATACTCTAAACTGGTATACTTAAAGTCTGCTAAATTGGAACAACTCATTTTATACTTAATGCATTTTAATTGTGTGGAAGTAGTGCTGAAGTCCAACTAAAGATATACCGAAGTATATTTGATTGTGCTAATGTAAAACTATTGGAAGTATACTTCAGGTACACTTTAAATATCTTGCATTTAAAGACAGATATTATTCAAAGATCACATAGTCCTCATCAATAGTGACATTAAAACATTTTAGGCTTAATATTGAGAAATGTCCATCGGGCACAAGTAGTACTCCAAATAAAGTTTAATTGGAATATTTAAGAAGTCTTGAAGAATGTTAGTAAATATGTGAATATATCTGAACTATACTTAGTATGAAATAAATGTATTTGTAAATACAGTATATCACTTTTTACTAGGGTAACTATAACAACACTGATATCAATACTACAATACTCAAATTACAATAGTACAATATTAATGCAGTATTCTCTTGTAGAAAATAAATGTAATAAACTGCATTTTTTAGATTTCAAAAATAGAAATTGAACTTATGTATTATTACGCACTATTATTTATTTAGTGCAGTTTTGTGTATTGTATAAAATAAACCTGCACATTATGTTCATGACCCATTATGCTTATTATAGTAGTTTCGTTTTGACATAGTATAATTATTAATACTTTTTATTATTGCCCTTGGTTAGCGTGTTTGTCCCCAAATGGATTGTAAAACCTGAAATCACAAACATTGAGTCAGTCAGCAGTCCCAAACTGGTCCTGAAGATACTCCGTGGGGATTCGATGCAGAAGGCTATATAACACATGTAGAGTTATTGGATATAGAAAATATCATTAGCTCTGTATGAAAATAATAGCCTATGGAAAGAAACAAGCATGTGTGCATGTATGTGTATGAGTGTGATGAATTTGCAGTATTTATCAATCTCTTTTAATCTTCCCATCTCTCTGTTCTCTCTGTTCTAAAACAGTTGAACACTTCAGAAAATACTTTATTATACTATATTTCTCTTACGGTTGCTTTAATTGGCCTAAGAACTGGCTAATAGAAGGGATGTGTTTGAAGGCTTAACTGTTGTCTTGAAACTGCATTAGATTGAATTATTTGGGTCTGAAAGAGACGGTATGCTATTATCCAAAGAGAATCACGCTGTCAGAAAGTTTCGCTCTAATAGTGTGATTTTAGTTCTTATTCTCTTTAATTGCTGGCAGACTTTTTTTTCTGGCTTTACCTTCGTGGTATGTTCCAATAATATTGTCTGAGTGTTTGAGACAAAGATCCAAGTATATTTCCAAAGATGCAAGTAAATTTCCCATTCAAAGCTATGGTTGCAACATAGACTCACTGGAAGAATGTGCCCTTTAACTCCTTCATGTTTCTCTGTCTCTCTCATTCCCTCTTACTTACTCATATTTCAATGATTATTAAAAATATTTAAATCCTTAAGTAATCTATCTTATTCTACATATACGTTGTATACCTGATAAGCTGCAAATCCAGTCCAAAGGCATTAAAATAAAGAGCAGACTTTGATCTTCTTTCTCCCCCATATCTCTCTTCTTCTCTTTCTTGTGCGACTTTTGACAACAATTTCAACCTGTGGTGTGCCGCTGGACATGAGAAATATCAGACACTATGGCACAGGAAACACAGAAAATCAGAGAGGAAGTAGCTCTGATGGAACTTCACAGCCCTGGAGGAGAGAATGAAAGTATGGAGAGGTTGTGTGTGCCTGTGAGAGACAGAGAGAAAATGAGCGAGTGTGTGTGCATGTGTGCGAGTGAGAGAGCGTGAGTGTGTTGGTCGGCTCCTGTCGTTCAGTCTCTGAGTGGATCTGTGAGATCAAACGCTGGTGAAAATGAATCTCTTTATGTGTCTCTGAGGGCAGTGAGAAAGACGCTCTGATCTAGGAGTGTGAGACGTCTGTTGGTCGGATCAATAACAGACTCATTATGGTGCCAATTGTACAAAAATTCCACAGAAACAACGACATCATAATTGTAAAACAAAAGTGTTGATTATTTTTCTTTTGATTATTATCTAGATTTTGGTGCTTTTTCTGAGTTTTAATATGAATTAAAGCTCCTGTCGTCAAGTTACATTCCTTGTGTGTGTGTAAGCATACTTGGTAATAAAGCTCTTTCTGACTTCTCACTTCTGACACCAGCCTGAATGATTTGTGTACGAATCAATCTTTTAAGTCTTTCTGAATCTTTGATTCAGTTCACAAAAATAGTCTGAATTTTTTTAAGTCGGATCCTTTGAATGAATCTTTGATTTGGTTCACAGTACAATCTAAATATACCTAATTTCCCTCCGGGGATTAATAAAGTATTTCTGATTTTGATATATATATGCATTTTAACCTATATATTTTTGCACATCCTAAATAAGCGACATTTTTGAAAAGTGTGCATAAATACCTAAGGGAACCCCAGAGTATGACGTAAGAGTGAACCCACAATGATTCAAACATCAAATAAAGCAAAATGACAGGGGAAAAAATAGTAAATTAATCTTCGGGTACCATGTTCAACATAGCAGCATCTCGGAGATCTCGAATCAATTAATTAGCAGTAGTTATTATTCCACCACATGCATATGACGTCATTAACAATGGCAAATGTGGTTCAAACGACGGAGATACGACCATGTTTGGGAAAATGTCGTGACTAGCTAGTTTATTTCCACAACAGTGCATCATACTACGGTGGTTGATCAGTGAGTTACATCGTTGTACGCAAAATGTACCCCTGAATGATTTGTTCATGAATCATTCTTTTGAGTCAGATCTTTTCACTGAATCTTTGATTTGGTTCACAAAAACAGTCTGTTGTCACACAAAGTTGTTCTATGCAAAAGACAATTGGACCATTTTTGTTGCTTTTGCATTGCAATTTTTTGAAGCTTGCAAGCGTCCCTCTCCATTCACTGTAATTGTATGGAAAACGGTGCATACATGAGTAACAAAGGGCAAAATTTTCATTTTGGGGTAAACTATGCCTTTAAAATTATAGATATACTTAATGATTTCTGAAAAACCACCGTTAATACTTCCACGGCACATCTCTCCTGTGAACCCCATCTAATGAGTGAAAAGTCTGGCCTTTAGCTCACTAGCTAACACTCATAGTTCCCCTTCCTGAAAATGTCACATGTTCAAATCTGGCACAAAACAAATTGAGGTCTGTCGTTTAGTCAAGGTCTGTGCTGAAAGATCCAGAAAAAAATGAAAGCAAGTGAGTTCCATTGATCTTTCGCGGTATGAATGAGAGGGAATGATATTATGATGACCTATCCTTCAGGCCAGCCAAAAAAGAAAGAAATCTTTCACTCTTATCCACACACTATCAAGACACAGACCTCAATTTTAGGATTCTTCTATTTTGCCGTCAAGAATAAATTCCACAGGTTTATGCGTAAATCACAGTTCTTCGCTCTTTGATATAAACATTAAAGTCTTGATCTCTCAGAGCCTGAGGGGATGGAGAAGCTTACCCTCTCATTAAACTCCCATCTGCAGAATATCGCCAGTCATTAGGATTACTTAGCTAATTTCATGATAATTTAACAAATGAAGTTACGATGAAATATGTATTAGATATTAATATAGGATAATGCCTGGAACCGCTCGAAGTCATTTGGAAGCACCCTGTTTTGATGAACACTTTATTTCTTTCTTTGAATGTGTGTGTGGAGACGTGTAAAACCTGTAAAACACTCCTGTGATGAACGGGAGGCTCAGAAAGCTGCGGTTCCTTAAATCTGGAGGTATTTTGTAGCATTAAGAGGCTCATAGTGTCTTTGAACAGCTCTTCATATGCTAATGAGGGAACTTTAATCAAGGGTTCTCGTTAAGGTCTCGTTTAGAGTCCTTGCGGGAGCTCGTTAAGGTAAACCTGCCCCAGGATTACACCTAATTAACAAACTCTAAACCAAGCGGAAAAATGACCAGCACTGAGAACTAGCAATAGGTTTGTGAATGCGAAAGGGTGTTTTTCCTCTAAATGTCTACTGAATATTAAGCGCCGTCCCCTGGGTGTTGTTTGAAATGCTCCCGTAGTTTTATCTCCATAATGACTCAATCAAATTACCTTAGCTCAGTGTTACAATTTCTCAGCTCCCTATAATCGTCTGGTTCAGGTGAGTTCGAGGGCAATAAACCCTTCTAATGTTTATTTGTTTTTCCCTTGTTATCTTTATGCACCGCGAACCCGCTTCCAAACGCACTCGTCGCTCGGCGGGTGCTCGTTGGGTATTTAAGCCCCTCACGCCGTGGCTAATTCTGACTGATGTTCTTCGGCAGTACTCAAATATGTAATTAATTCAACGGAGCCAATTAAACCCTCATCTGATTTCCATCTAAGTGTGTGCGCATGAGAGAGACTCATTTTTGCAATAGACTCTTGGTCAGCATTACTGGAGCCTTTGATTTTCTAGCACTCCATGATCACAGGTTTAATTTATCCCAGGAATTTCGACTTTCTCCGGTCGACTGGCTTTGCACCGGTTGTATACTGATGGATCTGCAGTATGACTGAAGCATAAATTAGAGGCGGCAGATCGCCTCGGGCTGACCTGTGGTGAGGCCGATAAGACGGCTTACATACAGTGAATTGTAATATCTCTCATATACGTGCTCAAAAACTAAAATCAATTAGCTCACATCCCGTAAACACGTGTTTTGGATCGCTGCCGTGTATAAAGCGCACCTTTAATTGTGAGCCTGCCTGTGTACCCACGAATGTGAATCTTTGTACCTGTGTATCAGTCGGTCTGTCTGTCTTCCCGTGTACCTGCGAGTGTACGTGTGTGTGTTATTGATGTAAGAAACCAAAAAAGAGTTTTGCTGATCAATTCTGCGTCTGTATCGGCACTGACGAATTTCAATCTCGTCAGGTCGAGCTTTGATATTTGAGCTTTCTGCTATTAGAAACTCTAATCACGATGACTGTAAATAAACGCACGCAAGTCTGATTTCTGGGACGCCGAAATTCCTCACACCTCTTCATCCCCTCTCTCTCTCTCTCTCTGTATCACTCTGTTCCCTCATCCCTGAATCGTTTCATCACCTCATTCTTAGAATTCATCTCACATCATTCATCTCCGGAAAGGAGAAAATAACAATATACAAATATATTTATGTGGCGAATTCTCACCCTGAAAGCAGTGAACCAAAAGCATATATCAAAAACCGGTGACAGTGGCTAAAAAGCATGAATATCAAATGGGCTTATTCTGACACATACATACTGGTGTAGTCACACCAAATAGCGTTTCATTTAGTTAATTGCGTGTCATTGTGAACATCTGGCTCTTAGATGCTTTTGTGCATCAGTTGTATGCATATTCAGTCATTTCCACAGTGCGGACACCCAATCTTTAGACTGTCATTAGAACTGCGCTTCTTTTTCTTTAAATGAATGATTTATAACATGGGAACCGTTTTTAAAACTAATGTTTCATCCAGCTACCCTGCTGTAAATGTTTGAAGACGTCAACGCCATCATTTCTTATTGATCTCTCCCTGTCTGTCTCTCACACGCAGTGAGCCGTCTCTGTAGGCATCATAGGTGCGCTCCCGTCGTGAAAACTGTTCCCAAAGGAAGGCAATTTAATTATGCTTCTTCTGAAGATACCTCATTTGTCCAGATTTGAAAGGGTCACACTAACGACGATTTGCACTGTCAAAGCGCCCATCGTTCATTTGGAATAAAAGAGAAATGCTGACTTAAAAAAATATTTGAACAATTAATTTCAGTCCTCAAATTTAATTGGCAGCACTGGGACTTTTCAATGTTGGTTTCCACTTGTCTGTGTTTGCGTGTCCCAGAAAGAAGTAGGTGGAGACTCGACTGATTCATTCAAACACACTGATTCATGCAGGGACAAAACAAATGACTGTCATTATGAGTCATAATATCATTCACTTAACCGGTTCATTCCAAAACACAGACATGTATGATATCACACATTCTTTATCATTGACTCATTGAATCATTAACCAGTTCATTCAAAACGGATTTGTTCAGAAATGAATCAAGTGACTGCCTTTATGAGTTAATCACTGAATTATTCAGTCAACTGATTCTTCCAAAACAAGGATTTAAACAAGGAAGCTTTTTCTTTCTTTCTTTTTTTGCTTGGATGCCCATTATTAATTCTGTTTGAAATTATTATCTTTAGTAGAGCCAAGAATATACAGAATAAGTGGTACTATTATGTCTAAAATGTACAATACCATTCGAAAGTTTGGGAGCAGATTTTAGTACTTTAGAAAATAATACTTGTATTCATTGAATTGATTAAGTGACATGTATAATGCTACAAAATATTTGGTAACACTACTTGCATTATAATAATTTCTATCAAAAGAATCCTGAAAATAAATTAGTAAATTGTTTCAACATCAATAATAATAAAAATGTATGAGCGACAAATAAGCATATTAGAATGATTTCAGAAGGATAATGGGACACTGAAGACTGGAGTAATGGCCTGAAAATAAATTAGTAAATTGTTTCAACATCAATAATAATAAAAATGTATGAGCGACAAAAGCATATTAGAATGATTTCAGAAGGATAATGGGACACTGAAGACTGGAGTAATGACTGCTTGCCATCACATGAATAAATTACATTTTAAAATATATTTAAATAGAAAACAGTTATTTAAATTGTAATAACATTTCACAATGTTACTGTATTTACTGTACTTTTGATCAAATAAATGCAGCCTTGATGAGCATAAGACACCTCTTTTAAAAACGTAAAATATTGCAGACCCCAAAATTTTGAACAATAGTGAAAGTTAGTCAGTATTAACTTCCTGTTTATTGAACTGCTGTTTAAAAGCAATACTGCGAGCAAAATCTCTATCTGACTTGCTCCTTCTTCCTGATGCTGCCTTTAACAGACGGAGAGACAGAGAGTTGTTTTTAAAGACTTCCTACGTTTTTTTGTTCTTCAGATACGGCTTCTATTACAGGAGGCTTCTTGCGGCCTCAGATACAATACATTGTTGTTCTGCTGTGCTTTCTGAGATGGTGCTATGAATGAAAAGATGTTTTTTTGTGAATTTGTGTTTATATTTTTGAGTCTGTCTGTATGTGTTTTCCATTTGGCAAGTGATGTTTAAATGGATGTCAAAAGAGAAAGCAGATGAAATGGTGCACTCTCACAGCGCATCATGAACGAGTAACACTAAGTGTGTGTACACATACACAAGTTTGAGTGGAAAAGACAGCGGGGGATGGAGATTATCACTCTTTGAGAGATACACAGCAGAAACAACCCTTCACTTTTCTTTGCTATCATCATGTTATTAACAGCAGTCAGAGCTGCAGAGGCACAAGACATACAGCTTCATGTTATGATAGAGATCAACAAGCCTGCAGTTTATAACACATTTAGGCTGTACGGAAGGGAATACCAGCACACTGCTCTACTGTGTAATTCATTATGCATACTATCTATCTGTCTATCTATCCGTATGTCTGTCAGTCTCTACTCAGAAACCTCTTGTTTGCTTCTTCTTTAATTTGCTTAATTAAAATTAGCTAATGCAACCATTCTTAAACATTTTGCCACTAAATTTCATTGCGTTCAATCAATTAAAGTTTTTAAAATGAATGTTGACTTGAATAATGAAGAATTTTTGTTGGCTGTAAACGGATTTATTCAAATTTAGATCCATAACAGCACAGACATTTTTGGCGTTTGATTTAAGCATTACTTTTTCATCTAACATCATCCGTTCATGTAGTTTAATTTAGTACTCTACAGAATTAAAATAAGGATGTTGCATGTCAGAAAAAAATAATAATAGCCACTGTTTGATAAAAAGCCAAAGTTATAAAAATGTACTATAAAAGTTTTTTTTAAGGTAATGTAATGTCATTTTATTTTTAATTTGGTGTTGGAGTAGAGTAACTTCATCAGATGATTGTAGTCTGATTTACTGCTTGGTAGGCATTAAATAAATATAAAAAAAAAAGATGTAAAAAAAAAAGTTATCAATCTATGAAACAAATCAAGTTTAGTTTATTTCTAGAGCACATTTAAAAACAACAGTAGTTGACCAAAGTACTGTACAGAAAGGGTCATAAAACAAATAACAATAAGGTACTGTACATAGTATTGTACATAACTGATTAGAAAAAAAACGGCATAGAGAAAAAGAAAAACCACAGGTCTCAAACTGAATTAAATGCCAAAGAATAAAAATGTGTTTTAAGACTGGTTTTAAAAGCAGACAGAGTTGGGGCCATCCTCACAGACAATGAGAATGAATTCCAGAGTTTAGGGGCTGTGCTTCAGTCTTACTCTAGGGACTGCCAGCAACATGAGGTCAGCAGACCTCAGAGACCTGGATGGAACATGCAGTTGTATAAGATCAGAAAGGTAGGTTGGGGCTAGGCCATTTAAGGATTTATAAGCAAGCACTAAAACCTTAAAATCAATTCTAAAACGGACCGGAAGCCAATATGGTGGAAAAATGTTCCCGTTTACGAGTTCTAGTTAAAAGTCGAGCTGCAGCATTCTGCACTAACTGCAATCGTGAGAGAGAGGCCTGGTTGAGACCAACATAGAGGGCATTACAATAGTCTAAACAAGATTAAATAAAAACATGTATAAGCCTTTCAAAATCATTAAATGACAAAAAAGTCTTAACTTTTTAGATAAAAGCCTTAACTGATAAAAACTTGACTTTACTACAAAGTTTATCTGTTTGTCAAGTTTAAAATCCATATCCATTATTACACCCAGGTCTTTAACAGTGGATTTAACATGTGAAAGCAAAAGGCCCAGATCAATGTTAGAGACCTTGTTAGTACTATTTGGACCAAATATCATAATTTCAGTCTTGCGATCATTAAAATGTACAAAATTTAGGGCCACCCAATCTTTAATGTCTCTGAGGCAATCAAACAGAAGTTGTAAAGAACTGGCATGTTCCCGTTTGCAGATAAATTTGTGTGTCATCTACATAACAGTGAAACAAAATGTTATATTTCCTGAGAATGGACCTGAATGGGAGCATATAAAGGGAACATAGCATTGGGCCAAGGATAGAGCCTTGAGGGACTCCAAATGGAAGGGGTGCTGATAAGGAAACCAAGTCATCAAGGCAGACAGAAA